CCAGTTCTTTGCTTCTCAGCAGCAAAACATATTTTTCTATATCTTTTCTTCTACCTCAGAAAACAATAACACGATCAGTAAATATGACACACAAAATTGCAGTATGAAACCATTTTAATTTGGCCACTACTTTGCAACTCGACTCCTCACTAGAGAGGATCTTTATTCACACTCGTGGTATTGCAGCTGAAACTGCAAGCCTCTATTCTTTGAATATGCCTTGGACTTTAAAATTATCTTATTCTTGGAACAAACAAATCTGTAATTGACATTTCCTTTTTTGCCATAAGAAATGTCATCAGTTCTGATTTCTGTCAGTGAAGCACCTCTGTGTAACACTGTCTGGAGTACTGAAGACTGAAAACTTTCTGGTAAGTGAAGTGAGGTTAGGTGAGACTGAGCTTTTGGAAGATGTGGAAAGATTGACACATTTTTATATTAAAATGAAAACAAGATGAAACTCATCATCTGTATCCTTTTGAACTTTGGCAAGGAGAGGATATGTTGAAATATTAAATCAATTTGTATTATATTTGGCTCTTCTACAGCAGACCAAAAGACAACCTGGATACCAGCACCCTCTATCCATTCCTCTGAAGATAGTTAGAATTCAAATTCTCAAGTTATTTGCCACTGTACCTTATGATATCTGTCTTACTTTTTTCCTATAACTAAAGCAGTCTTTCCTCTCTTTTACGGGAGCAGTTTTTCTTGGTCCTGAATTATAACAATGCTTACTACAGTTTTTTTCCATAGGCTTTCACTAGCAAAAGGAAATCAGTGCCAAAAAATTGTCTTTCTGCAGTTGTGTTTTGAATGTGCATATAGTATGCATAAGCCTTGCAAACAAAATTATGAAAACAAGTATTCACATTCAAATTCTAACATTTAGGAAATCAGGACAATATATGCCTTTATCTCATTTTCCCAATAAAATATTATTTTAAGTAAAATAAACACTTCTTTTAACACCAAAGCTTGTATTTATTCTAATATGAAATACTTCTGCAGCAGTGACTCTTAATCCCTGATGTTTATTGGCAGAGCTCCCCCTGCTGATTCGTAACAATCGCAAATATTAACTGCTTTGTCAGAAAAACACAGCTTTCAACCTGATTTATTTCTTTCTGTGAAAAGAAATATTTGAAATCCCAGCGTTACCCCATGAAATTTGGACCAAAATGTTAAAAAAAAAATTTTGTAACCACCAGGATGAAACGTAGGATTCCTGCAACCATCTGAGCAACTGAAATATTTATACTTACATACAGTTTTGGTACAGTTACAGTTAAGGCCTTTGAGTTAATGTCAAAATCTGTTATTACTGTGTAATTCTGGTTGTCTAAATCAGGCTTTTTAAGATGAATTAAAGGCTGAGGGATAAGCTTGTGTCTTTTACAGATTTAAAATAAGAAACAGAAGACAAATACTTATGTGCAATTCTGAAATAAATCTTACATGGGGGTCAGTGTTAGCAAGAATTTAGTATGAATTTAATCTGGTGAACTCCTCTAAATATCATGAGAAAAATAGAGCTAAAACAGAAGCAGGAAAGAAGAACTCATTCACCAAATTGAAAAAAACCAGCAGTTTCTTTTTCCCTGAAAATGGTCGTAATTGTGAGCTACATTCGGGCCAGTTAGGACTAGCCTACTCTTAAGCAAACTTTGTTCATTCTTCACATGTACTTGTCATGGGATAATTGTTGTTCCATCATTTTCAATTTTTCATAGCTGGAATTTATAGCTAGAATCTCCCTAACACACACTGAAGAGTACAGGCAAGCTTTCAGAAAGCAAAACTTGGTAGAACCCATCAATACACTAAAACTAGTATCTGTGAACTACATGAATTAGGAACAATTGCAAAATAATGCTACATATATCCAGCTCTCAGGAGATGGACTGTATCAGTGCTTTTGTCATCTCTAAAGCAACCGAAGAAGACAAAGCAATAAGAATGTATCACAATCAGCATTTTTTGATTTATGAAGCTGTGGCTTCATGAAAAGATGGGCTTTTAGTTCATATAAAAGTTATTAAAGCAGAAAAAAATCACCATAAAAAATCTCACCCTTTGTAAGTTCCACTCTGATTGTTCATTCGGTAATCCATCAAGTTCAATTCTTATCTTATAGATATTCCCAATGCTTTTTATTTTAACCTGAATAAAGCCAGAACAATACAACATATAACTACAGACAAAAATATATATAACTTACACTTTAAACTTGTGCAGTAGAGGCTGCATGCTGATTAAGTAAGGCCATGCCTTGCAAACTAACACTGTATCCAATTCAGGATTAAGAGACATTTCAGTCTCAGTCTCCCACACATACAGAAGCAGCAGTATCCTAATGGCAAGCACAGGCCTGTGAATTCTATGCTTAAAACTGTCACAGCCTTCATGACATCTTGCAAAAAAAAAAAAAAACAAACCAACCCTAAACATTTCCTTTCCTGTATTTTCAATCATCACATGTGAAATAACTCAAAAATCCAGTTCTCATTTATGCACATTTGCCCTGTATTTCTACATTTTGCCATTCATTCAATTTGGGCTGTATTTCTGGAAAAAATGTGGGGGAAAAATCACATCATGTGGGGAAAAAACATGTGGGGAAAAAAAAAGATACATAAAACTGCATCTTTATCTTTGCAATTGGTTCCAGATTTCTCTGAACCACTGTAGTATCTGAGTATACAGGAACAGTGCACAATATTTGATTGGTAGATTTCAGATGATAGGATCCAGAAAAGAGACTGCTTCTGTTTTGTCTAAGCAGATTTTTGACTGAGCCCCGGTTTGACCAGATTAGAGCCTAGTGAAATCACAATGCTTGCCAAGGAACTGATTTGGCAGATATTTGAACTCTTCAAAGTTTGAAAACTGGAAAAAGTTGGTAAGGGCCATACATGAGAGAAATGTGGAACACAAAATTAAACCCACTAAACCACAGGTCACAAATCTTTCATAATGCAGCACAGCAACATGACCATAAACCCTAGTATGTCAAAGTGAAGGATATAAAACTTTTGGAGACCTTAAAGAATAAGCTCTCAAAAGCTGGCAGAACATCTGCAAAACTTTGAAAATCACTGATACTATCTTCTCTTTCTGACTATGATTTGCATTCATTTGCACTTTCTTTGTACTTTCAAGCATTATACGTGCTCTTACTTATAAAATCTACTCTATGCAACCCTATCCTATCCCACTTACCTGGGGTTTATTTGAAGTTTAACCATTATTTAAAGTGAGCATAAATCATTTTAGATAATTTGTAATGTACTGCTAAGAAGGGAAAAATAAGTGTGTTATCATATTATTTCCCAAATAATAATTCTATTAATAAAAGGTTGGTAACAGCCTATTCCACTCCGTCATTTACATCCAAAAAAACTATTTACACTGTACAAAAATTTTTTTCTTTTCATTCTCTTAGAAACACCTACGAGTATATTATCCACTCATTCTTTACCTTCATGAATAAAAAGCCCTCTTCTCTTTTCAGAGGTCAGAATTACCTCAGTTCCTACATCAGCTTTTAGCTGTCTCTGTGCTTTTGTATGATAAACTTTTATGTTACAGTCACAGTGTTACCATGCTTTAGTCAAAGATTTCTAGAAGCAAACAACTTTTACCCTTGATTTCCCTAACATTGAAATGCACTCAGTAAATCGCAATGGTTGTTTGAGAAAGAATCTGAGCAATTCACACCTGTATTTATATTGGTATAGTTGCTACATCAACCTGAATTTCATTAACAAAATAAATGCTAACTCCAGGCTTGCAACACGGATGTGACAATATGGTTCCTGTCTTTTCCATCGGCTTAAGAAAATAGCTTTGTTCTGTGGAGTCAGATTATGATATCCTTGCATATACTGCATAATATTTCTCTCTATAAGTAGTCTTGTTAGCGGTAACCTGGAGACTTTGGTATTAAAGCAGTAGTAAAGTAAGGGCATGTGTACAACTTGACAGAAAAAACAGCTATTGTCATTTCCCACATTTCACGAACAAACCAACGCACTTCTCAGGTAATATGAGATACTGTCTTCTCATTCACAGACCTGGTGTTTACTGAATATACAGTGCTGTCATGTTGTCTGTTTATTCTAATGAATGCTCTCTTTAGGCTTTTGGTTAAAAAAAAAATTACATGATCATTTCATGTATCAATACAAAACGTAAATGCACTGAAGTTTGTCAGAATGCAAAGAGTGACTTCTGCCTAAAACAAGAAGAGGTCTCCTAGAAGAAACCCTCTGGTATCCTTCTTGATTTTTCTCATGCACAGTCTCAGAAAGCATTAAACAGACAATGACTACTCGGTAAGGTAAGAAAGGGAAGGCCACATATGAACGGTTTTCATTTCTCAAGATAGTTCTACTTGAATTTTTCGTAGTTGTGCATGCTGCTGATAAAGTGAAAAGTTAAAGAAAACTGACTCCAAATTGCCTGATTATCACAGGCTTTCAGAAGCTGTTTTCTTCCTAGAACTCCTGGTCAGAGCTATGATTAAGTTGATTACTTTAAAAAATAAAATTTGTTATCTTCTGCTCTAGAAAATATCAGTGAATCCATATCAAGCTCAAAGATGTAAATGATAAAAAGAAGATGTAATTTTTTTTAAGTCTTGCATTTGTTCCTCATTTCAAGACTTATCCTGCTAAACAAGTACAGGATGAAGTTTAAAGGGAAAAAAAGAAGAAAGAGCTCTTACTCATAGGCTTTTTCTTTGTGGATTTATCTACTGCAGACTAAAGAGTGAAAAGCACTTTGGTGACATTTGCTGTTTCATGCCTGAAACCAATAGTGTCAGCGTGATGTAAAGAATCATAGTAGTAGCCCCAGGTGCTGAGAGAAAGATTCTGCTCTCTCACAAGATCAATATGCACAGCATACAGCCATAATGGGCAAAATCTATTTTAGAGAAGAAAAACTGGTCCATCTCTTAAGAATGTATGGATTAACATTGCAAACATGCCATTACCCAATATTGCTTATAAATTATTCACTAATTAGGAGAACAGGATTCCCCGTGGATCATAATATAAAAGCCTACATGCTTAGAAAATGAACATTACAGCTGGTTATCTTCCTGCCTATGCCCTATTCATAGAGAGTATTATTATTAATATTACTGAAAGTAACAATCCTGGTTTGTGCCAAGATTGTATTAGAAGAGTTGATGAGTACAGAAAAAAAAATTTGCACGAAATGTGAAAAATATAACTACTTCTTCAGTTAGCTGAAGACAGCAATGTGTTACATGCATCTCAGACAGAAAGATTTAAGCAAAACAGAAATTTTAGCCCCTTTGGTAATTTCCTCTCAGCCTACCGAGACATATTTTCCTTATTACAATAGAAGTGGGGTTATTCTTAAATAATAGCAGAACTCTTTGTGTTTTCATGACATGAAAACATGTAGGTTTTATTGGGCTCTTGGTAATTCCATAGGTAAAGCTACTGGCATTTCAGCTATTTATAATATGGCAGCTGAAAAAAGGGTTTTCTTCCATAACCGAACCAGTTCCACAGTATACATTTTATAGTATGCTTTGAAAACTGTATGCATGAAGATTTCATTACCAAAGATCCCTAAATGATATACATCAGACATGGTTTGTTTAGGAATGGATAGTTTTTAAGCTAGTTTCCAATCAATTACCTTAAATCAATTTACTCCTGCGGTTGTCCTGTTTGGGCTACTATATGAGGGAGAGGGTGTTAAAAGAAAGAGCATTTCTTCTGTTGCTAACTATGTGCACCAAGCTGATTTAATGCAGAATTCATAGAGATTAGATAGAGATTTATTGTATGCAGTAAACACAGGAGAAAAACATTTTTTTCTTTTCACATGACAGACTAACCTTTGGAAAGGTATGCATTAAAAATAATGTTCTTAGCCTTCATTAGCTACCTGAAATTCATCCTCCTGCCTGGGAAGAAACAGCTGCTTTCTGTTGTCCTTGCCAAGAGTTATTGGTCCAGCTACTCCTCTGTCTCCATATATCCAGAGAACGACATTTGCTTGAGTTCCTGCACTTCCTGTCAGCATTGACACTTTCCATTCATCATCTGAAGGAGGGGGACACTCACCACCTTGTGGATTTCTCATTTCCTCTGTGAAATACAGAACATTAGTGGGAGATGAAAATCGACATGAAACTGCCAGTCGCTGTTGTAACTTCAGCACATAAGGAGACCATAACAGAGAGGGGATTGTATTTTTTCATGGCAAGTGAGATAGTCTGAAAAAAGATTGATTTATGTTTCTTGTCTAGACAAAAATGTACTGATTAGTTGAGCTACAAGAATCAACTGGAAAAGAACAAGTATCTCACATGCACTATCATCATATTTTTCTTTATACATATTCTGGTGTAGAGTAAGAATGCTATGATGCAGAGCTATGGCCATTAAATTGACATTTCTGGTTCCTTAGCCTGACATTTAGAAATTAGTAGAATTTCTTGTAAATACTCCTCTAATGCCTTGTGTTGGGACATTATTAGCAGAATCACATGTCTGAGAATAGAGACAATTTTAATTTCAAATGAAAAAAATATTCAGGAAATTAACTTTCTTCAAGTTAAATATTAATTAAATACTGTAAAATACTCAAAAAAGAGCACAATATATCCTTGCTCACCCATACCTACGCACACAGTGCCAGCACTTGGATTAAGGCAGGTTCTGCATGAATGAGACAATAGCAGCACAGCACTACTTTATGAATAAATTTCACAGCTTTAATGGCTGAGCAAATATAATTTTGGAAAACATGTATTTCACTTTAGAATAGCACCTAGTGATATTTCATCTACCCTTAAGAGAAAAAATATATATGCAAAGATGTCAAATGGCACCGCTGCATATGAGAGATGAAAAAATAGACTTTCTTGGGATGAAGGAATTTAGTTTTGAGTATTCTAATCAAAGTGGAGTTTACAAACATCAGATGTCTGGAACACTACTTTTCAGTAATGGGACCACTGACCATGAAGTCCTCTCCAAAAGAGGGAGTCCTTGCCCCCAAGAATTTATAATCTGTTCTGACACGAGGCAGATATAAACCCTAAATCTGAAAAGATGAACCAACACATTGTCTATATACTGCGTCCTGCAGGGGTTCCCAAACTGCTCTTCATCAGGCCTTTTCATGCGACTGCAAAGAGACTTTTTATTATGCTAACCATGATGAATATAATCTGTGCTGTAGATGAATTTTCTTTTGTATCCCCCAGCTTATTCTTCATCCATTAAGTAGCTTTCTATGAACCAAGCTTTTGGAGGCCAGAGGCTCCAAACACGTGATGGAATTCACTTACAATTTTGCAGAATTCATAAATAGCCATTGATAACGGATTTGTTGAAGAATTCCCAATGCATCACTATGTATGTTACTGCTGCACTACATATCTTGCTATCAGAGCCCTTTGCTTTTTTATTTGCTTGATTAAAATACTGTACTGGGTTTCTCTGGGATGGAGTTTTGCCTTCACTTATTAAACTGCCTTTACCTCAAAGGAAAAAGAAAACAAAGAACCACAACCTGAAAAAAAAACCCCAAACCAAACAGAAAAAGAAGTGATGCAAAAGCAATCACTCACCACCAGCAGACTGGTGCCCAGCTTAGTCCCCGAGGAACAACTACTTTGGAAAAACTCCTCTCCAGTTTTATTGCTGAGCGTGACAATATATGGTATGGAGTATCTCTTCAGTCAGTTGGGGTCAGCTGTGCCGGCTGTGTCCCCTCCCAGCCTCTTGCCATCGTCCCCCCACCACTCGCTGGGAGTGTAGAGTGAGAAACAGAGGTGGACTCAGTGCTATGCAAGCACTGCTCAGCAACAGCTAAAACATTGGTGCGTTATCAACACTGCTTTGGTCACCAGGCTGAAGCACAGCACCAGACAGACTGCTATGAAGAAAATTAAGTCCATCCCAGCCAAGCCCAGTACAAATACTAAACAAATTAAAGCAATACCTATGACAAAAATTTGCAAAATTTACCTGACTGTGCTTTGTTGCTAGCATTAAAATATGTTTGAAGGCAAAGTGAAAAACAGTTTTGAATCCTTGAGACTTGCGTCTTAATAAACT